GGGGGGGGGGGGGGGGGCGGGGGCGCGGGCGGGCGCGCGCCCGCGGCGGTGGGGGGGGGGGGAGGGGGCGGGGGCGCCGACGGCGGGGGCGGTAACGACGACCACGACGGGCAGGAGAACCAGGCGCGCGGGCGGGAGCAGGCCGGCCACCGAGACCTAGCGAGCAACGGGGCCGGTGAGTAGGAAGAGAACGGGGCGGCGCGGGATCTGGCTGGGCTTCTCAGCTGTTGAGGAGCGCGGAGTGGGGCTGGAAGGGGAGGCTTCCCCCGGCCAGAAAGCCTCCGCCTGGTTCCTCTTCGGGGCTGAAAACCCCAGCCCCGCTGGGAAGTAAGTCTCTGGGCGCTCAGTGGGACGCGTGTCTGCGGTCCGGTCCCTTTCGCCTCCCCTTCCACCGGCACCCCTTTTTCGGCTTCGCACTGATCAGACACCCCCTTGCCGACTGGTTGGAGAGGTGGCTGTCTGGTCGCTCATTTCAGGCTGAGAAAGATAGTCACCCGACTGCACTCAGGAAGGGCCAGCCAAGATGTCAGCGGCCCTGTGTAATCTGTCTCCGCTGCTACGGCTGCCTTAGTCTGCACGTAGCTTAAGGCTGTCGGAATCGCTCCGTCCCCGGTGGCCCCGGCCAGGGTTGGCGGATACAAACGCGATTGTTGCCCGCGGGACTCTTGCATGTGTGCATGCGCGCACCTGCTTTTCCTGGGGAAAGCTTTGGAATTCGAACATTAATGAAAAGGTTTGCATCGTGTGTTCCCGAGTGGACAAGCTTGCTGCCAGAGTGCACTCTTGCTTAGAAGAGCAAGTGGAATACTTGTTGCCACCCATCTTTTTAGAACTGAAACGATGTTTTCAGAGTATCTGTCGGTGGCAAGTAAAAGGAGTTAGAGAGACTTGTATTTTGACCAGTAAATATGTGCAACAGTATATGGTAACATAGTCCCTTTGAAAGAGTTTTGATTGCTAGGTATTGCTTCATTTTTAAAGGCATCTCTTTTGTGAACTTTGAACTCTCACAGGATCCCAAAACTGTCGGGGTTGACCAGAGATGCAGCTGTTTTTCAGTATGACAGGATGCCAGTTGTGTGTTTCTAGATTTGTCAAGAGAATGAAATGGCTTTGTGATGACATCTCTTTGTTTAAAGGCCAAACTTGGCTGTTTTTGTTTGTAATAGTCAAACTCACTGCTTCAAGTTTAAATCAAATAAGATGGGAGTTCTGTCATTCAGTTTCCAATATTTTAAAATGTAAAATTCAAAGTGTGGTTGAGTAGTCAGATTTAAAGATGCTTATGTTTACAATAGTATTAGTTTCATTGAATATTTATTGGTTTTGACATGGGTTAAAGTACAATCAAATGATAGCATTTGGATAATATTTGACTCATAATTGGTCAGTATACTTTGCTAATTAAAAGCTATGTTGTGGGAAAAGGATTTCATAAATTTTATTAAATCTAACTCTCTTGTGTGAGAAAAGCACTATTTGTCCTATATATGTTATAGACAGAATCAGATATATTAATGGTGCAGTAACATGACAAAATTATCTCTGTTCTACAGAGCCTGCCTGTTGCTCTATATTTGAATCAGTTTTATGTATGCTTCTTTCAGTCAGAGGCTATATCCAGATAAGTGACATTTGCAAAAAGAGATGGTGGGCTTTTCAAAGGGGTATAACTCCCTCTAAAACTTCAAGGTTAGAGGTACAGAAGATGGCCTTGAGTCTTAATTTGGAAGTAAGATATAGAGTGTTCTAAATGATTGTTACATTATTTGATTTGTAGCCCTTCTCTCAGTCACTCATGCCCTGGTTATCTCCCACATGAACTATTGCAATGTGCTGTACATGGGATTACCCTTGAAAAGTATCTGGAAGCTGCAGCTGGTACAGAATGTGGCGGCACGGGCAGTTTTGGGGGTCCATAGGGTTGCGCATGTAACACCTCTGCTGTGTGAGCTGCACTGGCTGCTGGTTTGCTTCCGGATCCAATTCAAGGTATTGGTTATGACCTTTAAAGCACTTCATAGCATGGGACCAGGTTACCTGAGGAACTGCCTCATCCTGGTTACATCACCTGGTCCAGCAGGAAGGACATGTTGTGGACCCCGTTGGTTAAAGAATTTCGACTGGTGGGGTCTAGGAGGAGAGCCTTTTCTGTTGTCACCCCCGCCCTGTGGAATATCTTATCCCCCAAGGTGATCTTGGCCTCGTTCTTCTGGCCTTCCGGAAGAGCCTTAAGACCTAGCTCTGCCGACTAGCATGGGGATCCAGTGGAGGCTCCCAACACTGTGGGTGGCTGGTGCCTTAAGGATGCACTCTTCACCTTTTAATTTTGTAGTCTTTGAATGTGTTTTGTAATTTTTAAATGTTTTTATGTTTTTTACCTGTGAGCCACCTAGAATCACTGATAGTGAGATGGGTGGCATATAAATTTAATTTATAAACAAACAAACAAATTTACTTCCAGAGAAAATTATCTGCTGCAAATTATTCATCCAAAAAAGTGTTTTAAACAAGAAATAGAAAAAGATTCAGTGTATTATTGCAATAGTGTAATTTTTCAATATTGAACATTTTAACCTATCTTATGATATTACATAATCTAAAGTCTGATAAGGTTGCCATGGATTTAGTATGATTTAAATGGATAGTGTGCACATTTTTCTTCTATTGTTTTGTTCTTTTAAATTTTTTACTTTATTTTAAAATAAAAAGGCAATGTACAGGAATTTATTTTTTGGTTGCTTTATTATGCAATTATATTTTGAAACAAGTTGACATTGCTTTTTCCTTCCCCTCTGAGTACTCCTATATTTTAAATAATTGTTGTATCATAGCACATTGTGGAACATTTATTTATTTATTAATCACATTTATATGGCCACCCATCTCACAGAAAGCTACTCTGGGCAATGTACAACAATCAGTACAATTTCCTGGTGCAACTTCTCTTCAGTGCCTGAATCCATATATTTTCACCTAGCTAAAGGAATTACTGAGCATCTCTTATTCTTCCCAAAATCTTACCTTACGACACACCATTGGCATTTTGATATTTATTTTTGTTTAATTTCCATTCAGTTGTTGAGAATTTAAACTTCTGGTGAAACACAACAACACAATATAATTTCTAGAGGAAATCACCTGTCTCAAAAATGCAATGGGCTTCTGTCTAAATATTATAATTTAGTTGGGAAATGGGAAATAGATAGAAGTATTGAATGATTTCCTGCTATTCACAGTTGGCTCTTATGATAATTGGGAAGGAGAAGTCTGTTTGAATATATTAGGTCAATAGGAATTAATTAAAATTAGGCAAACAGATCACACATGTAGGCAGGGAAGCAATCAAAGAAATAAATACTGTAATAGAAGCTGACCCTGAAGTTCAAATGATGGATGGTTATCCTTTTTGAATGAACTAGGAGAAGCGAAACGTTTTTTATACTACTAGTACAGTAGAGTCTCATTTAACCGACCTTCGCTTATCCGACCTTCCGTCTTATCCGACGCCGCTAAAAAAAACACAACACGCATAAATCGGTGACGAGAAAAGTGTGCCGCTTGTTTGCGAGTGTGAGTGTACTTTTTCTTATCGCTCCTGACGGTGTGGCACCGCAACGCAAAAATCGATTGCAACAGGCGCAGTGGATTGGTTTTTTTTTTTTTACTGCACTCAATCATTACTGTGTGTTATCCGACATTTTCGCTTATCTGACGTTCTGCCGGCCCGTTTATGTCGGA